TTCCATCATTGCCGGATTGTTCATATAATAAACATGTTAAATTTTTATATTCAGGTTTTGCACAATAATGTTGATTGCGCTGGTTACATTTCTTCACATCCAATGCTTCCCATAAATAAGTACAATTCATTTCATCATAGCCATTATCACAATTCCAAACTTGATCGCAAGTTCGACCGAATGCTTGTTCTTCGACTCGAATATTTTCTGGTAAATAAGTTAAAATAACATGCATTCCTCCATCTTTATGGACTTGTTCATCAACATGAATATCCGTCCCTCGTCCACCTTTGTTTGTCGCAATAATAGTATCACCTAACGTCGCAGGTTTTTTCGCAAATCTATCTTCAACATTATCTCCATCTCTTCGATATTTTTCTATAGTATGTAGAGGAACACTATGTCGAATAAGTTCATTCCAAATATTTTCTGTTGCTTTGACATTTTCACAGATAATTAAGACAGGTCGTGTTTTGGCTTGTTTAATACTTTCTCTAGCAATTATATCAAGCCAATCTCCATATTCAATGGAGATTTGATTGGATATTTGATAAAAACATTTCTCTTGCGAAGTAGGTAAATGTGCAAATCGAACTCGATATAAATCAGATAGAAAACTTTGAGAATTTTCAGAACCTATCGTTCCGGTTAATCCATAAAGACGATGCTGATATCTTTGAAAAAAAGTTTTATTTGATATGAAAACAGCTTTTAAACTTTCAGCAGATAATTTTCTTCGATATTTTAATTCTAAAAATTGTGCTAGGCCATGATTCCATCGTGTTGAATATTGTTCAACACCTGTATCTTTATCAAGGACAGTAATAGTTTTCTGTTTTTTATTCTTTTGTTCATCTGTTTTAGAGATATCTAAAACAAAATGATCATTTTCTCGCATAATTCGTGCTTGAAAAGCACTGTACACCCAACGTTCGATTTTATAATCTACAAATTCTTTCATATAATCGGGAATAAATATATTCTTATTGTTAATATTTTCTTTGATAAATTGAGTAATATCTTCAACATCTTTGGATATTTCATCCGAATTATTGATATCTTTTCTAATCACTGCAGTCCATATATAGATATATAAAATTCCAAGCCATTTTAAACATTGAATTTCATGAGGGATACAGAACATGTCTAGTTTTATCTAAGCACATATTATCAGCCTCATCAACGATTAAATATTTCTTTCGATTTAAATAACGTGTGCCAAAGATTTTTTTATTATTAAATTCTTCTTCTAAAATATCTCTTTTAAATGCTCCTACTTTCCCGTAAACAATATTACCTTGACATGTATTTGAATCTGGTCGATAGGATTGATGATTAACATCATCATCCTCACTACATATATGACCACTTTCAATTTTTAATAATTGAAAAAATGAATGACATTTTTTCTCTCCGTCGATTGCTAAATCCCGATTACTCGAAACGATATCAACCGCATTTCCACATAGAGCAAGAAAAGCAGCTGTTATTCCTACAATCAGAGTTTTTCCTTCACCTGTTCGAACTTGTTCAATTAAACCTTTGTCATGACTATGAATAAAAAGTAATAAAGCAATGATTTGAGTATCTTTTGGAAATTGTGATTTATTCACAATGGACCAGGTATAAAGTATTAATGGAATAATATCATATAAATGAGATCGAATATATTCTTCAGGATTATTTTGATAAGATGGAAGATTAAATATGTTCTGAATTTCTTTATGAATATAAGATTTTTCATCTCCTTCTAAAACATTTATTTTCTTAGCTGTTTCTCGATATAGTTTTGTTTCGTCAGCTATTCTTCGAAGAATATCTTTGTCGAAAGTATTGGTATTATTTTTCTGTTGTTCAACGTTCAACAGAAATCATTTGTTCAATGATTTTGTCTGCTGAACGATCAGATTTCTTAGCATTATTATCATGCGATGAAAGGATTTTTACTATTTCTGTTTGCCAATCTTCGTATGTAAATTCGAAAACAATTTTATTTGTTTGTTTAAAAGATAGTTTTTTTATAATGAATATTCTCCAATAGATGATTTAATTGCTGAACATTTTTTTCTCCTTTTATTTGACGTATTTTTTCTGAAACATTGTGAAAAAAATCTAAAAACTTATTATTATTTCCAGTACCTAATTGAACTCGAATACGATTTAAAAATAATAACGTTTTTTCAACCCCATCTTCACTCAAGTTAATACCAGATTGACTCATTTCTCGATTAAAAATCTGAGAAAATTCCATTTCATATAAAAGTATATCCCAAACTGCTAATGAAGCATCAGATAATTGATCTAAAGTTTCTTTAGTCGGTGCTGGTATCTTTCCCATTAATTCTACGATAGTACAAAACTTTTGTCGATCGATTTTCTGATAATTAGAAAGAGGATTATCGGTAGAATAAACGGCTTGGTTTATTTGATCAATATATTCAGTAATAAAAACATTGTTAAATAGAAATAGAAGCCTCTCGTTGGTCTGTATTAACATCTTTCGAAGATCTTCGGTTTCATTTTCTTTAGGAAATATCAAGGAAAATTTTTCTAGAATATGTTCGATTAATGAGACTTTTAACCAATTACTTTGCGCTGTAGATAATAACTTTTCATTTATGAAATGGAGATTTTCAAAACAACACAAACATTGTTGGATTTTTATGAAAATATCTTGTTTTATCAAAAGACCGTTATCTAGTTCGAATCGATCATTGAATGTATCGAGTAAACTATTGAAAGTCAAAACATGATACGAAGGGTTTTTCTCGTAAGAAGAAGTATCTTTTATATATCCATTTAATTGTTTAAAACCACTTTCTAATTGCTTTCGAAATTCTGAAGGATCGCTTATTTTATCTGTTATTATTAATTGATAAAACTTGTCTAATTTGGTGTTTTGCAAAGAAGAGACTCTATCAAAAATAACCTTTTGAATTTGATTCAATTCATTCGTTCCAATTCATTTTTCTTCTTTCGGAATAAGATCAAATATATCATCAACATTTGTTTGAAAATATTCAGGAAAATAAATGATTATTTCTAACCATTTGGCATCGGAATATTTTTTCGATAAAATCTTAATCAATTTTTGTAAATAAATCAGTTTCATTTCTTCGTATATAGTAGAAATCGATATATACAAATATTTATAGTGATGGATATTCTGATTAGATTCATTTGTACATAACTCTTTTACATTTAATGATAACTTCTTTAATCGCTCAATATGTTTCATTTCTATATTTATATCTTCAATTTTTTCTGTCGATCCGTAGGTTGGTAGTGTTTGAAATAACCAAGATAAAAAATCGATGAACAGCTCATTGATATTTTTTAAAATGTTATTTTCTTCAAATAGAATATGAAGTAAAATGAGTTGAAATCGTGCGTTATCAACATTATTAGCATTCAGATATAAACTATCTAGATGTGCTTCAGTAATGAGTTTCATTAATTGAATTAAACTGTTAAATTCATGAATTTCTTTTTGTGAATTCGAAATAGATATATGTTTTTGACAATGCTTATAAAACCCTTTATAAATCTCTTTGACATAATCGGATTTTTTGTCGCGTTCTTTATACAAGAAACTTAACATAATTTGATAATTTTCTATTTGTTTTCCTTCACTAGAATCAGCTTCATTTATATATGTTTTGATAGCTTTTAATTCTTTATCCAAAACTGGATAAGACTTGATTAAACTAATCAAGACTTTTTCTTTTAAATCTCTTAACATCTTTTCATTTTGAATTTGCTGTAAATCTTCAATAGTTTCCTTTATCTTATCATTTAGAGTAGGGTGGGGTAATTAGAACAGTATTTTTTTAAATCACCGTATTTTCGTTCCCTCTCAGTTAGCTTAAGGAATTTTTTGGTAGCTCCTTGGCAAGAGTTGTAGAGGAGTTCCTGTCGAATGGTCGTTTCCGTTTTTCTAAATTCCATTTCCTTCAGGATCAGGAGCAGATCTGCGGTTGACTGGTTTCGACTGTTCTAATTCCCCGCATGTGGGGAATTAGAACAGTACGTGTAAATGGGTGGGGTAATTAGAACAGTCCGTGCAAAATACACGGGATTTTTTAATAAAAGTAATTTGAATTTTATATTTT